TTCAAAATTTATCGATTTATCGAAATTTCAAGGTTATATAAGCTTATAGATTTATCACTGCTTATCGAATTTCATCGTCTTAACAGAGTGTAACGAGTTATCAAAATGTTTAGATAGTTTTCGAAAAATGTGGAGATGTCAAAAATAAAAATTTATAAAGGTATCCAAAGATTTTACATTTTTGAGTTATCGAAATTGGTCGAGTTAACGAATTTTGTTGAGTTATCGAATTTTAGTGTTCTTGAAATTCATCGAACTATCGATATGTATCAAATCATCAAAATTTATCGATAAACTTGAATGTATCGGGTCAATTCCAAGTCCTGCCGAAGTCCTCCAAAGACCTTCTCGGATTAAAAAAAAATTAGTTACGTTTTAGCAGAACATTTTCCGGTTAGTTAATTTGTACCGTATAAGTTTGCTACGTGTTAAGTTAGAAAACCTCTCCAAGGCTTCTAAAACTAGAAAAACTGTCGAATTTCGACAGTAACTGCAACTCTAGTATACTATAAAATACTGTGGTTCAAGAAAAATTTCCAACAGAATGAAAATGTTTTCTTGTGCTGACAAATAACTACAAGCCCCTTTCTTTTATTTTGTTTTTGTTTTATCGTTTACGAGCCTTGATCTAAACTTTTCGCCATTCGATCGAGAATCCCTCGTGAAACATAATTTTCGTAAAATGTACGTTTTCTTGCTGGCTGGGTAGATTGTGAAAATATGAATATATTTTTTTTTATTTAAAAAATGTACACGGATGGCTTCCTACATACCATTTCTATATGATTTACTGAAAACAGAAGTCGAATAGTTTCGCAAGGAATGTTAAATTTGATTTGCGAGGCCAAGGAGTTGTGTAATCGCAGCCATCTTGAAAAGAAGGATGGTCAAAGTAGTTCTTACTAAGGGGAACAGTAATCTTCGGGCTATACTGATCACGATGCACAGTGTTTCGACCATATGGAGGCAGGTGGAAATAAAAGTAAACCACCACCGATTTCGCTGAAACTTTAGATGTCTATGTCTAATTTTACTTAGAAATAGGTAATTATGAAATTTAGTAAAGGTGGAATAATTGCCACGCCCTCCAATCTCGTGTGTAGAAACATTAAATTTCATCCGATTTTGATGAAATTTAGTTTGTACTCTCTCTTTTATTAGAAAACCCTATATGTAAAATATGGGGAGGATTGGATCACTATAACCTCCAAAACTCACAAAATATGTGGGACCAGTCTTTAAATGTGATGGACCGGTAGTCATACTTTTTTTTTACTAATAATCTTTAGCATCTACATTTTAAAGGAAATTTTTTATAAACAAAATAGGAAAATACCAAATAAATGATAAATACCTTCACCTGAATATTCCACGACACACAGTGGTCGGACAGGCAATGTTCTACGCGAAAACTCAAATCTGATTAGTGTTTTTAATAATATCTGCTCAGCAGCATATTCAGATTTAGCATTACAAAAATACTACGATACTGCATTTTTATTATAATCGTAACATTCCTTCAAATTTTTTGCGTAAAACATATCTTCTCCGACCACTGTGCGATATTTAAATAATTGATTACAGTTGAAAAAGTAACAGTAACGTTACCGCGCCGATCCCAGTATTTTATTTTCTTTTTTTTAAATGCACCGTTCGTGGAAAAGGGGGTGAGCAAATTATGTAAAATTTTGTTGTATATATGACTTGCTTTTCCCTCTCTAAGCCCACCCGTTTTTTTTTTTTTTATCACCTGCCACCCATGACTTTTTCCTACCAGCCTCCATATAGTCGAAACACTGTGCGATGTAAAAAGTTTTTCTTTTCTAAAAACGAAGATTGATTTGCAAATCGCTTTACAGTGGCAACTATCAGAACTTGTGGTGCATTATCAGAGATTGAGGAAGTGACGCATCCACTACCTTCGAAGCAGTCAAAAATTGAACCTTATCTTAGTTTTCATATTTCTACTTTATGAAAAGTAGGCGTGATTATTGTGCGATTTCGCCGCCAATTTTCCACACCAACCATTCTTGGTCTTCTATTTACATATTCCTTAAGTTTTATTGCGGTACCTCAACTATTACGCCATACAAAATTTCCCACTGTGCGCCGCCTAAAGTGGGAAATAATAATTGTTGCCATCGTTTTCTTTCTTCCTTTTGTAGTTACTTTGATTTTTTCTATCCTTTGTATTACATACATATGCACATACACATATACATACATACATATTAAAATAGTATCGAAAAATCGGTGCATTATAAGTAAAAATTTGCTGCGGCTGTTGGTGGTTTTATTATTATTATATTTTTTTTTTGATATAGGATTGCATTTCACATCGATACTAGTAATTCCATCTGTAACTGTTTCCTAGCAAAAGCTTTGATTAAAAATTCATCTATTGAATGCACTCCTTTCCACTGCAATCGTAATTGTGATAAGTAAATAGTTCGCTCGCGTCCTTCCTGCTAAATTTCTGATATCCATTCTTTTTTATTCATATTTTAGTTGTAGTTATAAACAAATCGTCAACGCAATTCATATCAACTGTACATATGTACATACAAACATATTTTTATATAGATATACATATATAGATATTTTTGTTCTTTTACTTTTTTAAGATTTTCAATACACACATACAACTAAATATGATAACAATATGCAGTAGCGTAAAATTAAATATTTTGTTTTAAAGTTTTAAAGATAGTATAATACATTTTGTACAAATTAAGTTTATATGCTTGCATATATATATATATATATTTTTTTTTTTTTTAATTTCATTACAAACGGAAAAAGGTTAAAGGCAAGGATAGTGAGGTTAAGGCAGAAACCAAAAAAAAAAAATAGAAAAATAAATTGGTCAAATATTTTTAGTTGCTACATTTTCTAGTGGCTATCTGGATATACAGCTTGCCGCCCAACGGCATACATTCAAACTAACATAATTTCATACAAACATACCTATTTACATGCTATACATACATATAAAGAGTGCGCTGTACTGGCGTTGGCGTTGAGCTAACCGATTTTAGTGTTTCTCTATAAGTAAGCTAGGTATGTATTTTTTTTTTTAGTCTTATTTAATTTAATTTTGCATTTTTATATAATATGTATTTTAATTCTTTATGCCATAAGCTATTGTTTTTATTTTTAAGTACAATTAACATTAATTAATTATTAACAGTGTGTTGCAATGCGTTAATTATCTTTGCTTATGCGTGCATACTATTTTTTATTTGGGTTTATTTATTTCTTCTGTTAAATTCTTTTTAATTTTTATTTTTAAAATTATTTATTTTTATTTGTTAAATTAGTGTAACATCCGGCAAATTGATATTTGTTATTTTAGATATATATATTTTTAATACATAATCTAACGTCTTGTTTTGTTAATTATTTTTGCTATTCTATTTTTGCTATATTTTTCTCAATTCTATGCTATCTCCGTTATCACTTGGCATGCTGCCCAGATTTTATGTTTTGTTTTTTATGCAAGTTAACTAATTACTTTAAGTAATTCTGTGTCAGCTGCTCTGTTGGTGATGGGTAATTTGTTTATAAACTAATTAAGTACATTTAACATTTATCTTTTACGCTGTTTTGGGTAATGCAATAACATTGATGCTCTGTCTCTCTCTATCTTACTACCATTCAACAATTTGATGTGTGCTAAAATAATTACTTCGATATGTTGGCAAAATATAGACCGCATACATTGCGAGGAAAAATGGAGTAGCGAAAAAAGTACTAGGTTCAGAAGTCGCCCACAATAAACTAGCCCCTTTTTAGTTTTTTTTTTTTTTTTATTTCTTTCAGAATGTCGTAAATCATAAAGCTACAATGCTTTAGTGAATATTTTTTCCCCAATTAGTTGACTAACTAGTCCCAAATAAACCAGTTCCATTTTCACTAGCTTATTTCGAAAGAGGCAAATATGGAGTTGTGAAAAAGTACTACTTGCAGAAGTCAGCCGCAAAAAACTAGTCATTTATTATTTTTTTTTTAAATTGGTTCAAAATGTCGTAAATCGGGAAACTCCACTGTTTTAGTAAATATTTTTTTCCAAGTAGTTGGCTAACTAGTCTCAAATAAACTAGTTCCATTTTCACTAGTTTGCTTCGGATATAATTGACTTGATATGTTGAAAGAAAGACAAACCAGCGAGGAAAAAATGGACTTGTGAAAAAAGTACTAATTGCAGCAGTGGTTCATAAGAAACTAATCCCTTTTTCGTTAGTTTTAATTTGGTTAAAAAAATATCGTTAATCATGAAATAACGGAGTTTCTGAGTAAAGTAATTAAAGTAAATTTCAAATTCAGATGTTATTGGCAATTCTTTTTTGTATCTACTTAACTAGTCTAATTTTTTATGAACTTAAATATGTAAAAAATTAAAAAAAAAATTGTGTATTTTCGCAACAAAAAATAGGTAGAACTAGTTTTCTTTAAAATTTTTTTCTGCTTTAAAAAATTCAAATCTTCAATATTTTTGAAAATCAAAATTTATTTTGATAAAATTTGTAATTCAAAAATTAAAAAAATAAAAAATAAAACAGAACAGCCGCAAGTAAATATTTCTTAAACAAGTTTTGACAGTTTTAAATTAACTTTTGACACATTGCAGATATGTATGTATATTTTTCAGTTTGCGGCAATATTCCTAGCATGTAACATTACCTAGCATTGACAAATCAAGTCTTCAAAAGCCAATGCTAGTGCCAAAGGAACTAGTTGCTTTTAGATCAGTTGTATAATAGCAATAATAAGTTTTTTTCCACATATTTATGTGAATTATGAATATATGTTACATATTATATATATATGTTACATATATATATTATTCAGCGATTTTTTTCAAGTGTAACTTTGATCTTTACACAGCTTCAACTCAATCCCAATTGATGAAACGGAGGTTATTTGTTTCGAGCAGAAACTTTCTACACAAATTTTTGAAGATTTAAAAAAAAGTTGTATAAGAATTTTTTATGATTCAAGAAAACGTAGGTAGTTTCTTCCGGTTTCACATCTGAACTTTTATAAACAAATTTGATTAATCGAATTTAACCAGTCTTTAGAGAACTGTTTAATTTTTAACCGGAACTAGTGAAAAAAGGTAAATTTGTTTCTAGTTTAAATTTTAGCAAAACCAGCAATTTTTCAAAAGCTTACTGCAACTTCGACACCTTGCAACTAGTCTCTAACTAGTGAAAAAGTGGTGGATTCAACAGCTGTCATCTCAACAAATGACCTTAAAGCTCGCTACTTGACAACAAAATAATTTCCTCGCAGTGTACGCGCAGTGTACAGCACTTAATATATCTACATTAGGGCGGGTCAATTTGTATGGGAGATTTTTTCGGCTATGCACGTATAGCACAGAACGATTCTACGTTTGATTCTAAGCAAATTTGCCGAAGAAACCATAGGCCTAAAATCAATTTGGAGTTTAGAAAAATGCGAAAATAAGTTTCTTAGCATTTTGTTTCTTAAAATTTTGTATAAAAAAATTCTGTAAGGAATCCATCTCTGCACTTATCGTTTTCTTTAAACTTCCGCAAAAGGGAGCAACAGTGAAAATTTCAAATTGATTTTAGATCCATGGTTTCTTCAGCAAATTTTGTTAGAAATATGCGTAGAATCGCACTATGCTACATATACACGTAAAGTCAAAAAATTTACTCGCGCTAATATACAGAACCTCGCGTCGTGTGCTAAATAAGCTCTTCTATTTCTATCACTAAAGGTCACACCATTTTCTGTTTTTACATTGTTTCCTTACGAGTCCTTTCCAAAGTATACTCTCTTCTTGTTACATGCATTCTGGTCCGAAAAGTTAATATAAAACGCGCTCAAACATTGCATACTTTTAGGTGTTGGAAATGTAAATAAAAGTAACACAGAGATGTTCACAAGCAGCTACTCAACTCTTTGCTCGAAGAAGAGCCCAGCAGAATTAGTCTACATTCGTTTCATAGCAGATTCGCGAAAGTGACGCGGCTGTGAGTGCGTCAACTCTGCCCACCAATGCAGCTAAAGCGCCCATTGTGCTTTAATCCTCTGGCTCTCCACTCCAACTTTGCAGCTACTGAGTTGCTTAGCTTTTTTCGCTCGTACGCAAGTCGCACACAACACACATGCCACATACCGTCTCTTTCTCGCGCTCCTCCTCCTCCTCCTCCTCTCAATTAAGTAGCATGAGGACTTCCCACTTCCTCTTTCGCCGTCGTCTACAGTTGCACCTGGAATGTTTGCGCCGGTACCTTCGGCGGTGAAATGAATGGATTGGTACTGTGTAGTGGGGCAGCTGTACTGCTTAAAGTGGGTGTTACTACTATCTCTCCCACTGGCGTTGTGGGTGCCACTGGCAGATCGGGTGAGAGTGGTTTTGTTACACCGGCTACCCATTCGGCATCGAAGGGGTCGACACCTAATGGCGGTGCGGCGCTCATTGACTGAGTGCGTCCTGTTGAGTTGAGCAAGCGTGGCGCACGTTTGATAACCGCAGGCGATGTCTTCTTCACCACTTCGCCTAGCCACTGATCAGCATTGGGCAGTGGTGCTACCACCTCCACTGGACGTACAGTTGTTGGTGGCGGTGGCGGTGTCATAGTCAACGTTGGTGTTGTAGGCGTATGTACGGGCGAATTTGTGGATATTGGCGACACCGAGGAGACGCGTGGCGCTACTTGTGCCGTAGGTGTGGTGGTGGTGGCGCCCACAATTGAACCGCTACTCACTGCGCCCTCGGCGTATTCGTACATTCTAATACTGGCGCCGGCGGCGGCAGCTGCGATGCTGTTATTGCTGGCAGTTGCCGACAATCCAGTTGGTGTGGAGATTCCCTTCTGTTGTTGTTGCGTCTTTTCCGCGGCAATGATATTCTGATTAATGCTCAAATTGTTATTGAAATTGAGATCATCGCCAGCAGCAATCATTGCATCAGTTTGGCTGAGCAACGACAAACCCTGACTGAGCTCCTGACACAATTGGCTGACCGTGTCGATGGTGGCGATGCCATTATCTAAATCTGCGATGCCGCCGCCCATCTTAGCTGGTGAGATCTCGGGTATGGGTGAAACACTACGATTTGGTGTGGCTAACGCAGCGGCAAGTGAACCGCCATTAGCAGCTGCCAAAAATGCCTTCTGTCGTTCTGTGTTGGACGGAAGATCGTTGATGCGCAGTGACATCTGCCGCTTGAAAGGTGACTGACTACCGATGGTGCTGAATGCACGGAACGAACCCTGTCGCTCTAGCATTGAAGGTGTGGCGTGTGGACGCTCAATGGCGAAGGGATTATAGGGTTTTGGCTGTGGCGGCACAACAGCCGAGGGTGTTTCACCTTGCGCCAAACGCTCGGTCAGAGTTTGCTGGCGAAACGAACCGGTACGCGTAAATGTCGAATTCTTAACATCGAACGTCATGGTGACACCACATTCCTTATCGCGACGTTGCTTGCGCTCCAAACAGACGGCAAAAGCACAACCCACGGCATGTGAGAGACGTTCGCCGAGCTCTTTGCACGCCAAGAAACCATGACACATCCAACGACGCGTAGTGCCATCGCGACAAATGTAGCTGAAACCGCGCTCGTGGTTACGATCTGGGGCGCAGAAGCTCACTTTCTCGATGGTCTGATCGACAATGAGGCCCTTTGTCTCATCGTCCACGACGCGCAGTCCATCGCCGCTAACGTGCAGCACGCCGCGTATGGGTCGACGGCGCGAATTCTGAAAGAAGAAAGGAAAATTGTTGATAAGTAACAAAGTGTAATTCATTTTTGAGTGATAAGCAGGCTATATACGCCCACATTTGTCAGCTGATAGAGGGTTAATGCAAATATGGAGACGGTAATGAGGTGCTGATTAAAAGCGTGATGAATATTGGAAAATATGTATGTAATTAATGATTTTGTTTCCATGCCTATTGTGGGCGAGATAAGCTGTATTACGCCCAACTTTTTACTATCTACAGAGCTGAGACGATAATTGAATGCTTTCTTCGTGCGATTTTTGCGCTTCGAAGGCATATCCACGTTGTTGTAATTAAAACGCGCTGAAAAAACTGAGTGGTCCTAAATGTACTAGTTGTGTAACTGGTTATAGTTATCAATGAAGTTGAGAATTTTTAAATGAAAGTTCATTAATTTATAGTTTTTATCAGGGACCGAGAACGCGTACCAGTGTTAGTTTAGTTCCGCACGAGAACAAAATGTAATGTCAAGAACGTTCTCACAAAAGAGCCAAACGGGAACAAAATGAGATTAAAAGTTTCGGGAACGTTTCCGTAAAGAACAAAGCACGAACAAAACTCTCGAGAACGTTCTCAAGATGAATAGAATCAGACGAAATTTCGAGAACTTTTCATATGCGTTTTCAAGGAGGATCAAATAAGAACAAAACTCTGGGGAACGTTCTGCTAGAGAACAAAACCAGAAAAAAACTTTTGAGAACTTAACGCCCCGTCTGCGTGTTGGAATGAAAAATCGTTTCAGTGAGAACAATGATTGTTAATTCTAAGCCAGAGGAAAGCTGGATCATTCGAACTTTCAGATCGTTAATCATTAAGGATTGTTTGTAGCTCTCATCACAAAGAAAGCACAATAGATATTTTTCTTTATTTCTTTTGGTTGAAAACGTGCTGTGCTTTTGCTGTAAATTTAATTAAAGAAATAAATATTCTAACATCTTTTTTCTTGAGAGCTGCAAACTGATTTAAGAAATTTTGATAGAAACAAATTTCTTTTCCATTTCTTGTGCCATTATGGAACAATTTTTCATTTTATGTGCAAGAAAAGTTCGTTTCATTCGTTGACTTTATTTGCACAATTATCATTCAAACACTTCAAACTAATGGAACGCTATGACAAACATTTTGCTCTCGCTTCCATTTTACGCGAATACTTCAGCGAAGATTTGTTGTCGTTTCGTTCTCTGTCCGAAAGTTACTGACACTTTAGTTAACAAATTGTTTTTCGAGAGTAAGTTGCTTAGACTTTTTTCCCGATTTTGTTCTTTTCAGAAACGTTCCGGAGACTTTGGTTCGCATTTTGTTTTCTTTGGGAACGTTCCCTAGGGTTTTTTTCTTATGTAATTCCTTTGAGAACGTTCTCAATAGTTTTGTTCTCATTGCGGTTTTGGTTTTGAAGCGTTCTTGGGAAGAAAACTACTTGGTCCCTGGTTTTTATTGATATTTCGTGACAGGATCAGTACTAGTCCAAAAATAACTAGTTTCATTTTCACTACATCTTTTCCAACAGTATTTCAGAGGAAGGCAAATATTTTTCAGAGACGGGCAAATGAATTTCAGAAAAGCTGTGTAAAGTGTGTTGTAGAAAAACTCAAATGTATTTCAGAAAAGTCCAAATGCATTTCAGAAATGGACAAATGTATTTCAGAAAAACGGCCAAACGAAATTCAGAAAAGCTCAAATGTATTTCAGAAAATTTCAAATGTATTTCAGAAAAGCTCAATCGTATTTCTGAAAAGCACAAATGTATTTCAGAAAAAATATTTTCAGAATATTTTTAACTAGGAAAACTTTTCAATAGGAAAGGTGTAGTTCGGACCTAGTAATTAACGAATTTAATGAAAAAATATAGTTCAACCCGATTTCCCTATTCCGTATTCTACATATTTTTCTTATCAAATCTTACCTCGGCTCTCAAATTAGACTGACCTTGTCAGCTGACAAATGCGTATTGAATTTACCCAATCACTTTCCACAACTTACCCGCAATACTTTTAGGGCCTCCTCGCAAACTTGCATACCGCGCGACTCGAATACCTCAACGCAACCCAAATATTTCACCGCAAACGAACAGGTCGCCGAACGTACTGCCTCCTCGTCGGCCTGCCATTGATGCGGTTTCGATGATTCGGGCACACGGTCCTTCCGACGACGAAACGAATCGCGAAAGGATCGACGCAAGCGATCCATTTTCTTTGGTGATTTCTTGCTAAAGCGAAATGATGCCGATTTCTAAAGGCGTTAGCAGCAGAAGAGAAAAGAAAGTAAACACATTAGTATGCAAACATATTCAAATTGTTGTAGACAAAAATTTACGTGAAAAAAAGAGCGAATACATTTCGATCGTGTGAAACAAGTGCTAGACGACCGTTGAGTTCAAAAGTGGCGCAGTGTTCTGTTTTGTTTTTTTTTTTTGTCTTTTTTTTTTTGTTGTACTTATTAGGTACTTGCTTTAGCAGCTAAAAACCTACCCCATTTTTAACATCACCAAATTTTCCGCGTGTGAAGCCGCGCTCCAGTGGTTCGTGTGTGTGTGACGATGAATTTCCCATAGCGAAGTTGAATTGTGCGCTGCCGCTGCTGCAGTTGCCTTCCTTCCTTCCTTCCTCCTTGTTAGCGTCCTTTCCGGCTGGTCGTTGTGCTCGCTCACTTGGTCGACTTACTGACTCACTATTGCTGGCTTGCTTGCGCCTCTCGGTTGTTTGTTTTACTGCCGCTCAAGCGCTGTGCGAATGCCTGCGCTTACTCGGAGGGTTGTTGCTTGCCGACTGACTGGCCGTTAAAATTTCAAAAATTTCGCTGCTTAAACGCCTTGTTGCTGTTGTTGTTAATCGACCGGTTATTGAATTGTTGAAATTTTCTAACAAATTTTATTCTGTGTTGATTTGTTACGTTGGTTGATCTCACACCTTCATATCACAAATTGATCAAGCTTTCTGTACTTTGGCTTTTTTTATTAAGTACATACATAGTTGTGTGTGGCTTTGTATCTTTGCTTTCTTCTTTTCATTCTTATTTCATGTATTATTATTGCATCGTACTGTCGTTTATGGTTTTATTAAACAGCCATTAATTAAGTATCCCCGCGGAATTAGTAACAATTTGGCTAATTGGGTGCTATTGTGTGTGGGTTGGGTGTTTGAAGGCTGAAACTGTTTGAAAAAAACTGCGGTTTAAAATAATATAATTGCATCGTTTTAATCTCTACACTTCGTTGACACGTGAGACAGACAGCCAGCAGCATGTGAGATAAAAAAGGTTCTTTTTTACCAAAAAAAATAAAACAAAAAATCTTAAAAATCGAAAGTTCCTGAAATTCCTGAGTAGGTATTAAGTAAATAAAGAATTTTGAAAGAAATTTCGCTAGCAAATCTTTCAGATTTCTGGAAGTTTATGCAGACAAGTCCGACTTAGTACTCTTCATAAAGTAGTACAGGGTTCACTTTCTCTTTAGCCCCAAAATTGTGAATTACCTCAGCTTATGCCTACCGCCAGTCATCTTTGACCATAGCTGAAGACCGTTGCGCCTTCCGTCCTCCAGCTTGCACTGTTGAAAGGCATATGTTCTTGAACTACTTTCTCTACAAGCTCTCATACCGCCCTCTAGATCAAGCAGCCGATTAAGGGCGAATTGCCTTGTCGCAGCCACGCGGAGGATCCTGACACGGATTTTTCCACCCTTCCTTACCGCTGATTCATGCATGATATACTCTAGCGAAGTTTGTGTAATAAGTTGACGGAGTGGAGTTCGGATGCCGCGGAAAGAATTAGGAAAGCCTTCTATGCCTTATAGGTCTGTAGAAAAAATTTTAGGCGAGACGAGAGGCGAGCCATAACACTATCACATTGCATCTACCCGGTTGTTAAGACATACGGTACTCAACAACAACTCAGGCGAGCAATGTTATCGAAGTATTTAGTCAGGGATTTTTCCATGCCCGCTTACCATTAAATCATGCACCGAATACCTTGGATACACTACCCAGACAACAAGTTGACGTGGAGCTCGCAGGTCGGGAAAAGAGTAAGGATAGCCACCAAAGCCGTATACGTCTGCAGGAAAATACAAGGCGTGACATAAAGCTTATTCATCCGACTCTTAGATCTTAAGAAATATAATTGAACATTACATTCCCGGACCACTGCAGCGTTTATCATGCAGAAGTTCTAGCTATAAAGGATCTTAACACGCTCGTCGTAACGAAACGATAAATATCTTCTTGGATAGCCATAGACGGCCATCAAATCAATGAACGCGAAATTGTTAAAATCAAAGGTTGCATTCATGGCAGCTCTAAATGATATTAGCATCGTCTTCGAGGACATTGCAGGGCCGATGAGCAAGCCAGGACAGGTTTCAAACTTCTAATGCGTGAAAACTGAGTTAAAATTGTGATAACCATGGGTATCCTGTAAATTAAGGATTGGAAATAAGATTTTTCAAGAGGTCAATAGGTAATGGATAGATGAGGACACTTACATAACAACTAGGCTAGCAAACTGATAAGAAGAAATACATGAACTACTCAGCCTCTAAAATAGCGGACATTTCGGAGGTCACGGCTTGTGTAACCGGTCACTGGCTAGTAATTTAGTAGGCACACTTCGAGATGCAGAATTTACCGAGATGAGAAAGAGGAGAAAACAGACGAAAATTACTTTTTAGGTAAACACATCTTCAGCTTACGGAACTATGCGGTGTAGAAATAAAACCAATCTTGCGCTTCGTAAGAGCTTCAAAATGGTTACATGGAAAATAGTGTCTAAGGTTCTCGTTTTTAACAGTGGTAAGTAGGTCATTTGAACAGACTGCCACATTAATCTAACTTTACCTAAGCTATAAAATTGGAGGATGCATAGAACCTAGAAGATCTATATAGAACAGAAGCAGAAGACAATAGATAGATAATACGATTTTTTGAAGCACATATTTTCAAATCGGTTCAGCTCATCTGAATATTTTTCCGAAATATTTTAAATTTTTTAATTCCGGCGAAAGAACTGCAACCCTTTTTTGGTGAGACACCCTAATGTATGTATATATCTATGCATAAACTTCTACATATGTACAAAGGTAATTATGCTTTTCATTATCTAAGCATTTAAGTGCTCTAGTGAGACGATAAACACCAAAACTTGCCCAATTCTCAGTAATTTCTCATAGGTTTATTGTTAAGAAAGAAATCCAAAAAATGCAACTCTTGTTAATAAGATGACTCAGATACAAATAAAAAGCGAACAATAAAAGCACACCTAATAAATACATATGTATATAAATGCCACCGAGCCCAACTGCAACACGTTTTTGGTTTCATTTGTATGCTTAATAGCCTCGATCGGCTTTGTTTAGCTGCCCCGGCCAATTGTTGGCCGACTGTGATTTGGTTTGCCTCAAAAGTCACGCGTTTACAAATGCACTCATACTTAGTAACATTTTCTTAGTAAAACGTCCTTGTTGTTGTTCGTGTTGGAAACACGTCATTATGTCGGCTGTTACCGATATCGCAAACTATATACTACATACATATATATGTATGTATGTATGTTTGTTTGTAGGCAGGCAAATTCCAAAAATCATAGATATTTTCAAAAGCTTTTCATGAGAGCCAAGTACATACATACATAGCTCAGATACTCGTGAGCACAAAAGCTTGTTAGCGATCAATCAAACTTTTGCTTAGGCGATCGAGGGCGCCGATTGTGGGTGGGAGGCAGTGTTGCCAGGTATTCGGCATGAGAAAACGTCGCTCCAACGCCAAAATAACGTAAGCGACATTTTTTTTCAAAATTTTCTTTTTGATGCAGAAATATTCCTAGAGCATTTAGATGCATTTCTGCATCAAAAAGACAATTTTGTCGCTTACGTTATTTTGACGGTTAGGGCTCGATATATACGTTATATATATTAAAATGTCATTTCGACAGAGCACATTCAAAATTTATTGTAAACTGGTTTGAGAGAGTTAATATAATAATCATTTTATACATACACTTGTGATCAGCTGATTAAGTCATCAACATTTTGATCGATTTTGGCTGTTTCTCTTTTGTTTATTTAATGTTTATTATTTGTCCATAAAAGCCAAGCTCATTAACAAACAAAATATAAATCCACAAAAATTGTGCAAAAATTATAAAAAATCTGCAAATTTTCAGCTAGATTTTCAACTTTTTATTCAGATTTTTTAGAATTTTTTGAGTATGCAGTTTGATAGCCCATTAAATTTCAGGGCAATAATGTGCAAGTTTAAAGGGGCTAAATAATCGCGTTGATTTTTAATATTTTATTTTTTTTTCTTGTAGACATTTGGTTAGGGGCTCGGTTATCGAAAATGCTAAATTACGTTCTGCTAAGAAGGAGCATAGCAATAGGTCCATTCAATATCAAAAAATAATTACGAATTGTTGCTAGTACTTGCAAGTCTTTACTGGGAATGCATTTAATAACCCAAAATATTTGCAAGAGGGAGCGAATTCGAGAGCGCAACACCCCGAGAGAGAGCTGCAAATTCTTGCAAGTAAAAATTTTACTAGTTTGAATTTGCAGGAGTCAAAAAGTAAGGTTATGTTTCAAATTCAAATGTAAACAAACTTTTTAAGAGGATAATTTGATGAAACATAATTAGTGAAATAAAAATATGGATGAAACATTTAAATCTATTGCATATTTTCTTATTTTTATGACGAAGGGAACTATTCCCAATTAAAAAGAAAATTGCGCGCCAAAACTTAACCGTCAGAAAGTGTCAAAATGGCGTAAGTTGCAAGTTTTTACTAGTTCTGCGATCAATAACTTTTTCAGAAAATTTTCTCTTGCTCTCAATTTTACTCTCTATTTTTCTTTTACGCTCTCGCTGCAAGTACTTACTGGAAAAGTAATTGAATGGACCTAATATTTCAGTCTTTTCTGAGTTCATTACATTTTCAATGGGCGCGTTTCTAAGACGCAACTGTTTACCTCAACTGTTGCTGAAACGCTGTCAAATGTTGAGTTCAACAGTTACGTCTTAGAAACGGTATGATACATAAACTGCCAAAACATTTGTAAACAAGCAAAATTAAATAAAACAGGACAAAAATAAAAAAATATATATTAAACCAAAAATATGGATAGCACAGGATTTATAATGGAGTTTTTCTTATTTTATTTTTAATGTACGTGTATTTTATTTTATTAACAGCCAGTTTCGCCAGCAATTTACAGACAAATTATTGTTTGATTTGAATCTTCTATGAAAACTGACGAAAGAGAAACATCATTTTTGACTTATATAAATTGTTGACTTCATGTAGCGAAATAATTTTATGATGATGGAAAAACTGGCGTAACGTTGTCAACCGTTGAGCTGAACGGAACTACTCAACTGTGCGTTTCTGAAACAAACACTCAACAGTTTAGCAACAGCTACGTCTTAGGAACGCGCCCAATGAAGTCTAAAAAAAGTCGCCTACTTTTTTCTGACGTTTTATGCTGCACAGCTTTTTTGATGCTTTTGCGAGCGTGCCTGCTGCAATAGATCGGCTCTTTCTGAATTGGCTTTTAATGTGCAATTGCAAGCATTACAGCAAGCCTCGTAACCTCAAGTGTTTACACAACCAGCCTTTGAACACGGGATCCTTAGTCCAAGAATGCAGAAAAAATCTTTTGAAGCAGCTGCAGCAAAACACAAAGATTGTAAAGATTTATTAAGAAAATACTACAAAATCAGTTCAACCTATAAGATTTAGTAACAAAGAAAAATTACTGGGAAGTTAAAAAACGTCATTTTTTACACAAAAAACGTCCAAACGTCAACAGGGTACAAAAAACGTCCAAATGACGTTAAAAACGTCAACCTGGCAACGCTGGTGGGAGGGTACACCTAGGATATGTATGGTTGAAGCGAATAAATGATTTGAGTTAAAAATTTACTGACTTATTTGACAATAACTCTAATTGATTGTAGAAGGTGACAATAGTACAAAAGCGTGTATATCAGTTGGGGGAAAAAATAGGAGTGTGCTATCGAATCGATATGAAGCTTTCAAGTGGATGACTCAATAGATTCTTTTCAGCGGAACTCTTAACTGTCAAAAGTATGGCACATATACATACATGTGTATGTATGTATTTATGTACATATGTATATATAATTTCATACCAGCAAGTAAT